TTAATCCATTTTTTTCCACCCAACTATCAATTTCTCATTCTCTACTCTCTAAATTTCTAATATCTTGATTATCTTTTACATTTTACATTATTGAGTTATAATCTTGATTTTACAATCTATTTTCTACACTACTATATAACCTACATTCATTTATGAATTCTACTTCAACATTCAATTTCAATTATTTAATATCAATTATCTCATTACAAATTTCCAATTCACAAATGGATCTACGCTCATTTGTTGAAAACTCGTTCGGTGTAGGAAGCGAATCACCTATCACGCCCCACACTCAATTTCGGAATGAATTCGCCGATTTAAATGAATTACCTATTCCATAAAATATTTCGAATTTTGATCCTCATAGAAGTAGTAATCCAATTGATTTGTATGACGTTGATGTTTTAGAGGCGGAACATGATGATGAATCTGTATTAAATATTCCCGATACAAGAGGGAAGAGAAAGGGGAAAAACGGGTAAAATGTCAAGATAATTTTAAAGTGGTTCAAACTGGTCGTGTGGTCGATGGAGTTCCAAAATCCAAAGTCGTATGTAAATACTGTCAACAACGATTGGCATGACAAAAAGGTATTGGAACTACCTACCTCAACTGTCACTACAAAATATGTGCGGCAAAACATGGGCTTCTTCCTGTTGGTCAAACGCAATTACAATTTGGTAGTCCAGGCACCAGTGCTACTACTACGCCACTTTCTACTTGGATGTATTCAGAGGAGAACGTTCGAACGGGAACGGTAAAGTTCGTTGCCACAATTGAGTTGCCTCTAGCAATAGCGGACAACCAACATTTTGTCCCCAACGTGAAAGAATATCTTCAACTGAGGTATGTTGGGGTAAGTCGAAATACTCTTCATTCTGATACAATAGAATATTTCCTTAATGCAAAGAAACAATTGATTACCAGTTTACAAAAATATGAGGGTGTTGTATGTTTAACTTCGGATATATGGGAAGTGATTAATAAAAAAAGTTATATAGCTGCAACTACACACTACATAGACCCACTTTGGTGTATGCATAAAAAAAATTATAGCTTTTAAAATTATTGAATTCCCTCACAATACTAACAACATATTTAATGTTATAATGAATATTGTTAAAGAATATCACTGCGAGAGTAAAATTCGTTCATTTACATTCGACAACGCTAATGTAAATAAGGTAGTTATCGATAAATTGTACAGAGTACTGCAACTCGATTTCGATGGTTATTTGTTTCATATTCGATGTGTATGCTATATTTTTATTTTAATAGTACAAGATGGTTTAAAACATATTAAGGATGAAATTCAACGAATTAGGAATGCACTAGTGTATGTCACAATTTCACCTAGTAGAAAACAAGTATTTGAGAGATTTTGTGCCGAAGTTGGGGTAACGCATACGAAAACATTTATTAGTGACGTAGGGTATAGATGGAACTCCACTTACTTATTATTAAAATCATGTGAAGGTTTTGAACATTTAGAGACGAAGACGATACTATTTTGAATGACTCCGATTGGAGTTTAGCTTTTAAAATTAAAAAAATTTTGACAAGTTTTTATGATTCTACAAATATTTTGTTGGGTGTTTATTATTCCACTAGTTGTATGGTTCTTGAACGTCTTTATATAATTGCTAGGACTTTTCATAGATATAAAAATGATCCCCGATCTTAGTTCAATTATATATTCCATGGAATTAAAGTTTAGAAAATATTGAGAAGACTTGCCTATGTTATTTCCACGCATACATCATGGACCACCGATATAATTTATCGGGTACTAAATTTGTAATTAATCAAATTTCAAAAGCTTTAACTTTTAATGTACATATCACTTATTGAAATTTGGAATAAACTTTATGTGAAATGTATGAATTATATACTGAACGAATGGGTATACATATTAATCGGGTACCCTCCGGCTCTACACCTACTCCTCCCACTGATATTGCAGATGACGACGTTGAAGTCTTAAATTTATTCAAAATGCATTAACTTATATATATATGATTCAACTGCAACTGCATGTGGTTCCTCTAACACCAGTAGTAGTTTGTCTTCCACTGCATATACTCAAACGTCAAGCGCAAGTCAAAATGCAATGACTGCTGAACTAATTGATTATTTTAATCATAATATGTCTAATAACAATACAATTAAGAAAAGTTCAGAAAAAGTAATTGAATTCTGACGAAAATATGAACGTCGATGGCTAATATTTTTGCGATGACAAAATATCTACTAACACATCCGGTTAGCACTGTAACTTTGGAGTCTGCTTTTAGTACAAGTAAGAGGGTTTTCTCCCAGATCAAGAGCCAATTGAAAGAAGATATTTTGGAAATATTAATGTGTATGAAGGATTGGGAAGACGCTAATTTTCGACTGCAAGATAAATATAATGAAATTGCATGTCGTCAAATAAATGATATTTAATTTAACCATATTCATAAAAAAAATTTAATACCTTTATAATTTTTTTAAAAAATTCTATACGTAACAAATTGTTTGTGTACAATTTTTTTAACTCCGCCAACTCGAAAATTAGAAATTGAAATAACCGATTCCAAACCCGGATAAAGGAGGAGGGTTTATTTATTATTATTATTATTATTATTATTATTATTATTATTATTTAAAAAAAGAATTTTTTTTAAGAAAATGCATATTTAAAAAATTGTTTGAAAAATATATATCTTTTTTTTAAAATGTATAGTAAACACACACACACACACACAAAACCCCGAGCTTGTTACAAAACGAGCACTAGCCGAGCTCGTAGGTATATGGGTCGAGCCGAGCACCGCTACCTATTTGTAAGAAACTTGATCATTGATTTGAATGAGTGTTGTTAAAATTAATGATGATTATTCATGTCACATCAAATGATGTCAATCAAACTATCGAATTTAACGTACATGCAGCAAAACTTTTTCGGATGGAATCAATCAGGCAATCTCGAGTCGAAACGATATCATTTCTTACAATATTAGCTAAAAATAAAAATCCTCATAATTTTTGTTGTTTTTTAATATTTATCCATAAACTTTACCAGTGAATTAGAAGTCTCCAGAGTCCATTCCTAACCTCCTTGACAGCAGTAAGCCACATGCTCCCAGGTGACGAAACCAGGCGAACTCTCTCCTACTAATCACAGAAAAGCGTGTTACACACGCAAAACATAGCGAGTATAATTAACCTCCAACCATTCTAGCCCTGTAATGAGCCAAATGATATTTTACGTGGCAAATTTCTCTGTTGATCCCCAACCTATCATCGTATCAGCATATTGGTCCCACATTTTAAAAAGAGCAATTTTTTTAATAACAAAAAAATTTAGCCCCCGTTTGATCCCATTTCCCCAAGAATGTGTTTTTCCAAAACTCATTTTTAACCACACATTTTCCTATAAAATAATTATACACGTATTTCAAGAATTTTTCCTTACTTTTTAACCATGCATTTTTCAAAATCACTATTTCTTAATACATTTTACTCCAAAATGGGATCAAACGGGGACTTAATGTAACACTAACATGTCTTTCTATAAAATTAGTCTTGCTTCAATTGTTACTTGGGAATGTGATTTAATAATCTATGCCCTTATTTAGGGCATGTCTGTCAACGATTTTCAGCAAATTCTAAACAGAAAAAATGGCCATTTTTTTTCAAACGGTGGGTCCCACCCGTGTCTAAGATTGTCAACAATGGCTGCATTTTTTAAAAAGTGACGGTACACAAATCAATTTTTTTGGTTAAAAAATCTGTAACAGACAAGGACTTAGTTTAGCTAAAAATCAAAATTTTGCTATTTATACGTGTCTATCTTTATGAAGTTTATCTCTGCGTTTCAATTGAGAATTGTTTCTATGACGGTTACATTGCGATTTTATAAGGATTTGGACATTTTCGACACCATTAAAGATTTACAGTTAAAAAGTCGAGAACTAATTGTTGAATTAATTTGCTACTTGAACATTCTATCCTTATGAAGTTAGTCTTGCCTTCTCATTTTCAACGATTTTACCTAAGAGGTTGAAATGATAGTTAATTTTCGACAATTACATGACAATTTTATAAAGATTAGACATTGCAATTAAGATGAAAAGTCGAGAACTAATTGCTGAAATAAATTGCTACTCAGACATGGGACCAACATATCTCCCCGTCTCGTTCACCTCTCCGACAATTCGGAATATATACATACGCTTTCAGCGTTAATCCATTTGTACATAATGAATTATTTCATCTCACATAATGCGCGGGGTCCGCGTGTATTTAAAAATTCCGAGAACGTGGTCCCATTTGTAAAAAATTCGATAAAAAAATTCGGTATTTCATACTACGCTTCAATACACGTATGTTCATCTGCCTATACATACAACAGTTATACATATATGTGCGTGTGTTTCAATCTCTCTCTTTAAGCAAAAGATGGATCTCAGAGGAAAAAAGTACGAGAATCTAAACCCTAGTTTTGGTGTTCTCTCGATCCAGGTAGAATCAGGAGCCTAGTTTAGGACTTTTTTGAAGATAATTTTGTACCGAAAGACGGGGTGATATTAGCGATAATTTTGAGGCTTATAATTATTTTGCTTTAAGAGAAGTGGGCTGTGGTGTTTTTTTTTTCATGTATGTACATTGAATTTTACTGAATTTGGGAATGGGTTTTGATAGAGAATTACACAACGGATTAGCTAGCATTTTTTATTGCTCTGTTAGCTTTTATTTGAATGTGAACAAATGAAATCAACTCGAAAATTCGAGGTTTGACATATTTGTGACTAGTTTGATTGGATAGTGGGAGGGTTTGGAGTGCTTAGTTTGAGGATCATGAGAAATGGAGGGTTTCGATTGAGTTTGGGGGTATTTGCTTTGTAGAATTGCGTTTTTTGCTTGGTCGAAATAGATTGGTGGATGGCGTGATCTGTGATTAAGGGCTAGTTTTTTATTTAGCCCAACAGCAAGAAATTTCAGCTGGGAATTGCAGAATGAGCTTACAAAATGAAGATCAGAATTCACAGGATAATGTTGGGGAAAAGTTGCACAAAGTGCAAAAGTAATTAGCTTGCTCCTTTAAACGGGTTTGTTAGTTTTCATTTTGTGTTATATTTATTTGGGGGAAAATGACAAACAAGTTGTTCTGCTGTTATAGGAAGCTGAAAATCTTGTACACTAGAGAGTTCCTTTTGTCCTTGGGTGATCTGGATATTTGCAAGAAGTTACCAAGCAGGTTCGATGAATCTATACTACGGTAAGAATGCTCCCCCCTTATCCTATGAGAATTACTCATGCCTAGTTACACAATGGCTCCAAAGAATATACCGATTATGTTATCTTCTAGACCTGTTGATTTATTGAATTTCTTTCCTGTTGTTTCTACTTCTATTTAAAAGGTACTATGGCATGCTTATATATGTATTGTGTTGCTTAAAGCAGTGAATTCGAGGATGCTTCGCAGAGCATACAAGATCGACCAAGAAATTCAGGGAGCTTTCCGTTGCAGGGCTTCAGACGCAATGAGTACGGCTCATCACCACCTACTCGTAGCGATTCTAATAATTACTCTCAAGGCACATTTGGGAGGTGGGAAAGCCGTTCTTCTGGATGGAGTGATCGAGACAGTGATTCACAATCTGATAAGGATTCAGGTTCACATTAAAATTTCTCTGAATGAATGGTGATATACCTTGTATTTATTTTCATTGCTCACTTATTTTGTATAATTGAGTAAAAGCATGCAAGTATAAATGCGGATCCTGCTCTAGAAGTCTCATTGAACTACAAATCAAGAGTTGACACTTAGAAATTTAGTGCTTGAAGCAAGAAAATTGAACCTCAGGACATATCATAATTCTATATATAGGCATTCAGGTCCAAGTTTGTAATAAGTTTTTAATTTTCTTTTATTGGGATAATTGAATCAAACCCAGTTAGAAGGATTCCAATCCCCACTACCGCAGTTTTCAAAAATGAATAGTACACTCTGCCTGTGTAGTGGTCTGCTCCAAAATGTTCTGAGGAAGGGGATTACTAATTCCATTTTTAGGACAGCGAGAGTCATAACTTTGTTTGCTTTGACTTGTTGTCCATCCATAGACCATAAACATTTTTGTTATTTTTTGAAATAACATTTTTTCTTGGTCAGTCGTACTTCAACTTCAAGCATTTCACTGCCTTAGACCGGTATTCTCAAACTAGGTTTTGAAACAATGATATTTTAATATTCCCCGGACTACTTTTATGACCTTGTTTAGTGCTATACGCTGGAAGAAAAGATATGAAAGTTGGTTAATTACAGAGGATGAATATGTGCGGGCCTTCTGGTGAACTATTATTATTTTACGTAAAACTAGAGATTCATTTCCTTTTTCCACGTAATCTTGTTGAATCAGGTAAAGAGACGTGTATATCATTTAAATATAGTCTCCAAAATGCTTCCTCACGTGTGGACGTTCATTTTTTTCATCAAAGTGACACGTGCACAATTTCATTAATTAGGTGGCGACGAGACTTGAACAATGCTCTATTACCATGTTGAGCCATTTGATTTAAAAGCTCAAGTTGTTAGAGGTGCCCTGTATATCATTCAAATATTGTCTTCGACAAATCTCACATTTTACTATGTTTATTTCTTTATTTGGCTTTGTTGAACTAATGATCTGCTTATTCTATAATCAAATTAGCTGTGGTTAGGATGATTATGTCCGTTCTATTCTTCTTCCTAGAATTCTATAGTTTTTGTGAGTGAATGGAGCTTGAATACTGTCAAGAGGTGCTGAATTTTCACGGTCCTTGTATTCTTGCTTAATTTATAGTTTAGCACAATGATTGGGTGCCTAGCTTGGTGCATGTTCCTTGGTCAAACTCATTAGTCTTCTGCAAAAAGTTTATGCGCACAAATTATAAATTCTTTAGCAGATAAATCTTTTGAACTTCCAGTCTCTGATTTCCGTGCACTATGAGTGCATGCATACCATATTTACCCCTTTGTTCCTGTACATGCACCATGTTATTCACCTTCTAGTCTTCCACTATTCACGACATTTTTATCAGATAGCTATTCTTATGGTCTGATGACTTAATCACACTTAATTCTCAGATTCTGGAAGGCTATACAGCCATCAGTCTCGGAGATCTTGGCAGACTCCTGAGCACGATGGACTTCTTGGAAATGGTTCATTTCCAAGAATCTCAGCTGCAAAGATGCGAGCGAATGAGAACTATCAACTTGGCAAAAAGAATGACCTATATCAACCTCCGCGCCCTTATAAGGTTAGGTTCCTTGTAATCCCATTTGATTTCTGGTAGCTAAGTTTAATGTGTTTGGTCAGTGAGCTATATTGTTTCTTTCTTTTTCTGTCTTAATTGTTCTAAAAATTTCAGTGCACCCATTTGCCATATTAAGAAATTTGTGGGCATTTCATTTAGCATAATCTCATGCGATTCATAATTATTTCAGGCCATACCTCACACTCGGAGAGAGACCGATTCCTATAATGATGAAACATTTGGTTCAACAGAGAACGCTAGTGAGGATAGGGCAGAAGAAGAAAAGAGGAGAAGAGGTATTGTTTCTTTCTACTTGGAGTCATGTGTGGTTGCCTGGTTGGTACCTTTGCTTCTTCTAATTCATTCTTTTTCTCATTGGATGAGTTTTATCTTGACCTCCTTTCCAGATTCGTTTGAGTTGATGAGAAAAGAACAACAGAAGTCTCTTCAGGAGAAACAAAAAATGAGTCTGGAGAAGCATACGGTTGACAATGCCTCAGGCGTTTATGAATTTTTCGAGGGTAGCAAAGAGGAAAGGGGACTTCTGGGAGGGTATAACGAATTGGATGTTTCGACTGCATCTCCTGTTTTGAGTGATGAATCTGACAAATCGTCTTTTTCTTCACACGCTTCTAGACCACCTGTTCCACCAGGCTTTACTAACAATATTCTGGAGAAGAGTACTGGTACGAAATCTTTGGTTCCTCCCCATTTAGCAGAGGTATGTTATTTCCAGTTACTCTCTATGATTGATTGCTGGATTGATCTCTGGCCAATAAGCCCCTTTAGTAACGTAGCCTGTCATTTTTTCTCCTTATAATGCTTGTGGCTTCCTTGTTTGTATAAGCTGATCTGATTGATGCTGCATGCTGGAATCTGCTAGCCTAGGCTTTTTTTTTTTTGCTGAATTATTAGTTAGTGAGGAGCTTGGAAGGAATACGACTCAATTTTTCAAGTGTTTCCCTCAATTTGTTGTGCACTTTTTGTTGATTGATAGATCATAGATGGCTTTGTGATCCTCTTTCATCGCCATCAATCACTCAAATGAATTAATTGATTTTCGCTGCTGGCCAGCAGAATTATATTCTTTTCTCATCCCCCTTTATTTTATTCTAGGGTGGTTGGGTGGGGGATGGTAGAGGAGAGTGGGGTGCCTTCCATTTCTATCAAGAAAGATAATTTTCCATGAATATTTTTTATTTTCCTTGTTTAAAATTGCCCTACTTTGATAATCGTCAGATTTTCTATATTTAGTTAGGCCCTGAGAAAGTGGTGGCAAACTATTATCTCATTCTACCTTAACTATAGTAAGGAAAGCCTATTCTGAGAAACACAAGGTGAAGAATGGATGCACTATTATTGCTAAGAATGTACATGCAAATATCAGAAAAAGTGTGTACCTCGCATTGGTAAATTTGTCGAGGGGAATATTTGTATATCTAGCCAGGATCTTAATACTTTTATATGTTATTTTATGTTATTCAGTGGTTGCTGATAAATTTGTATTGGGTGTGAATTACTCACTCTTTTCATATTATGCTGTAGTAATAGCTCTGTCAGAAACTTATACGTCTTTTTTCTTCACTTGTATCTAATTTCTTTTGAATTTACAGATTGGGAAGCCTGTAGCAGGGGAAAGATTTCTGTATTTTAGAACCAACCTTGTCCAAAATGGCAATCTCGACGGTTTTCAGCAGCAGTTATCGAAAGAAATTAGCTTAGTTGATGGGCAAACTGAAGATAAGAGTAAGCTTGTATCACTTCCAAACGAGGGGCGAACTGTAAATTCTCACTCAAGTTTAGGTGTGCCTAACGAGGAAGTCAGCGTAGAAGATCAGTGTGATCCTACTAGTCATGGAATTTTTAACAAATCGGAAATTATTGAACTCGATGCCAAAGTATTGGAGGACAAAGTTGTTGGCAAGTCCAAGGAAAACTATTCATCAGTTCTGGAAAAAAAATTTGGCATTGCAACGATGAATGATGGTGGCTCTGTAGATTCAGCTGAGGTAGTCATACTTCTAATCACATTGTTTTTAAACAATCTTTTACTCTGTCCAAGTCCCGTCACTCTCGTTTGCAGTCTGCAGTAGCTCGTCTTTCTCAAGTTGACTTGTACCTGTGTCTATGAGATGTATAATCAGGTTATAGATTGTTAGATATGCTTCCCCTCATTATTAGTGGTTGACCAGAAATTATGGTTAGTGTAGAACACATCTCCCACTTTTGTCTCCAACTTGACTATAGATCTTTCAGATATTCTTGCATTACCAAATTTTTTACCAATATAGTCCAGGACCAGTCCAATATTTCTTCCTTTTATCAACCAATTGGTTTATCGAAGACTTTGTCACATATGCTAAGCTTAAATATTAGTAATATTTATTGGAAGTAACTGTCTGTCAAGGTATAGGGTGATTGATCTTTTAGGCCTAGCCAAATGAACAGGTGTCTCTCATTTATTCATTGACATTCATTTAGTCCAACTTTTTCCTTTTCTTTCCTAACCTTAATATGAATTGCTTGTCTCTACCATTACTGTACTTCATGTCTTGCTTTTTACCTCTAGTATCACATTGGAAAAGTTCATGACACGTGGAGTGCAAAATTAGCTCAGCCCTCGAAGTTTGCCCTATGGTTTTTTGAAGAAGGTACGGATAATGAGTATTTTTGCGTTCAGTGTTGCAAGAAATCCTAGAAAGATGTAACTTACACGGTGTTGTTCCTTTGCGATGCACTACAGAAGCACAGCCAGCGAATGGCATCTCAGCTGGAAGGTCGAATGATTTACTCCCGTTAATTGTCACTGGTGAAAAAGGAAGATCACAAGTTCCTGCTGCAAAAGCTGAGCACTTTACGCGTGAATGCTCCTATGAGAGCTCCGAACTTACTAGTAAGCTTACAGCTGACATGCCCTCTGCAACTAATGGCATCTCTGAAGAGGTGTTCAGCAGTAATAAAAATGAAGTAACTTCGACTGTCCTTACCTGCGAAGACCTTGAACAGTCAATTTTGTCAGAATACAGTCAAAAGAATTCAAACATAATGCCGCATGCGAGAGGCTGGAGTGCTTCCAGCACAAATATAGAACAGCCAAGAGAACATGATGATCATGCATCTCAGGACCTGCTTTCATTGTTGCAAAAGGGATCAGACCCAAATACAATGACAATGGGTCCCAGTGCTGACATTGGCTTTACAAACATAGGACTAGTTTCCGATGAACATGATACTGGAACTGCAGTTGATGAGCCTAAAACTGAAGAGTGCACTAACAATATACATTATTCTGGAAAGACGCTGACACTTGAAACGCTCTTTGGAACCGCTTTTATGAAGGAGCTGCAATCAGTTGAAGCACCTGTTTCTGTCCAAAGGGGCTCAAATGGATCTGCACAAATTGATGCCCTGGAGCCTCGTGGATTATCCGTTCCGGTCATGGATAATGGTGTTTTTTCCTCAGCAATTGATGAAATTGGACTTCAAAGAACAAGTCATGAACATAGTGTTTTGAGCTCACATCACAGAGAGCAAACCAACCTGGCTACGGCTGGGAATTGGCTAGGATTTGATGATTCTCAAATAAATTCATCAAAACTCCCAACTGAAGTAGTGGCCAAACATGGTGGCTATAATGGGACAGTTGAATTTCAGCTGCCTGAAGGGGAGAGCTTAATTTCTGTTGATTCTTTGACTCCCCAACTGTCGACATTGATGCCAACCGGAAATTCAAGTAAAAACGATTTCTTGTTTTCAAAAGAGCACGTTGACGTAGCAGAGAATCTGGCAGCTATAAGTGCTGTCATCAAAGACAAAAGAACTATAGTAGGTTCAGAATGTATGCCCTTTGAATGTGGTCCTTATGAACAGACAGATCCTGAGATTCCATATCGGAATATTCAGGTCCAACCATCACCTCCCCAATTTCAGCCCCTGCATATGAATCATGGGAGGCCATTATTCCATCCATTGGATCCTCATCCTGCTCACATGAGTTTGCAGAAGAAGTTCATGGGTCCAGAGAGTTTGTTCAATCATGATACTCCAGCCAATTCTCAGTTTCCTGCAAATATTATTCGCCCTCCTTTTCATAATCCCAATTCAGGGGTTGCAGCGTACGATCTGCATGCTCATCGTTCTATACTGCATCCAATGCAAATGCCAGACAACCGTACCCAACTGTTATCTGACTTTCCGAGGGGTGCTCCTGTGCCTTATCCTGGCAATCAAACAACCGGTTTTATTCAGGACAGGAACCCAATGCATGGGTTTCCTTTTGGACCTCGCCAACCCAACATTGGCAGCCTTGGGATGTCAGTGCCAGGTAGAAACTTCTCCTTTTTTATTTGATATATTAGAAAAGCTGTATACATAATCAGTCAACTGGCCTTTCAGATATTTATTTATATATTGAGAGGTTTCTTGTGGTCTAGGTAGAAGATCTACCCTTATAGGATTTGAACTAGATTGAAAAAATGTACGATATCAGCTGTAGCCTGTAAATAATAAAAATTTGAGTGGTTTAATTATAGTTAGAGAAATCTTTAGAAATCCAAACATTTCAAATACTGAATCACATTTTGGGGAAAATTCTATGTACTTGTAAAATTTGTTAAATTAAGTAGGATAGCAATGAGTAGAGACATGACATTAACGGAAGTTAATAGAAACCATAAGAAGGAATTCAAATTTGTTATTACATTGTTTCACCTAATTTTTAGAATTTTCTGGTGCATTGCTTCTTTTCTAATAGTGGACAGTGATATTTAACTGCCTTATCAATGAATTAGAAAAATATGCTTGGTTGTGTAATAAACCTAAGAGGAATAGCTACCTATCAGAAAACCAAAAGGGTGAATTTTATGTTGGATTCTTAAGTTTTATTCGTCTGCTTAAAGGTTAAAGATTTAGCACCTTTTCTATTCTTCCATCTGGAAAATTAATCTTATTTGAAGAAATCAGTTACAGGTTGTTGGCTTTTCACGAAATAAGCATCTAGTGCTTATTGTTCTTGGTCTGCTTTTATGCTTGGATTTGTATATTATGTTTTTGAGTTGGACGAAAGTTTTGTAGTTTAATATTGTTTTATAGCTCAAAACTTGCAGAAATACAAGCATTTAACTGCCAAAGCATGACTGTTTTATGATTTGTGCTTGTGCATATCTATATAATGATTGAAAGAAGAATCAACTCAATTTGAGATTGTTTCCTTTCTTCCTTTTTTCCCATTTCGGTAAAAATTTACGAATGTTGTTCCCATGATTGTTCCAGCTCCTGATAATTCTTTTGGCAATCCTCCTGAAGCATTCCAGAGGCTAATCGAAATGGAACTCCAGGCAAACTCAAAGCAGATCCACCCATTTCATCCTGCTCATAACCAAGGAATTTATGGTCGCGAACTAGACATTCGTTTCCGGAGGTGAAAGTTTGATCATTTCACGTGGACTTTAAACAACGGTCTTAGCATTGAATGATCTTGTCCTGGCATACCTGGTTGGATTATGTATTTATGGATATCACAGAATTGGCTGTGATTTGATACTTTCATTTTATATTTTCTTAGGAGTTACGAACAAATGAAGGTAAAAGAGGAAGCGCAAAAGCTTTACAATAGAGCTGTGCAAGATATAACAATTTTCAGCAGTTTTTCCTTCCTTTTTAAAAAAAGGGAGGGGGGAAGGGGGGCATGTCTTTCTGCTTGAAAATTCATTGCCTTACCTATTCTTGCATCACTATTGCAGTCCACTGGATTTCTGATTCTGGAAATCCCATCCGAACAAACTGATCCTGTGAAAACCAGTGTTAGTTTCAAATGTTTTGTATCTGAATTTTGCATGTGGAGTGATCGATTCTCTTTCAGGTATGCCCTGAAAGGAGAACACAAGCTCAAATTCCAACGGGCATCTATTATTTCATTCACCCGACCTGATTGTATCCATATCGGTTTCTTCCTGTCATTCCTTGTTCAATGGCGTGTGTGGGACAATTGGTGCATGAAGTCCATGGTTCTATTGTAAAGCTCATGATTTTTGGGCACATCAGATGATACAACTCTCTTGAAAATAAAATTTGCTCACCTCTAATAACCAATGTTTTTAAAAATCGTCTTGAACATCGTCCTTGAAAGCTTCAAGGTTTGCATTGAAGTTGGAGCCGTAGATTGAAAAAAATGATCTTTTTTAATACAATGAACCGATAAAATTGGATCTAGTTCACCTAAATTTTTTTGTGAACCTACAGGTTCTGGGATTTCCTTTTCAAGAGTTCTACTATATGCATGATTTGACATAGTATCAAAGCATGAATTCAAGTGTCATTGTAATTATGAAATTTTGTTCACATATAAAACCTTTAAATTCAATTGACATGATGGGATATTTAGAAGATGAAAATGTTTTACTAATTTTTTGAACATTAGTGTCAGTTACAAACGACTGCCATTATTGGTAATAAAACAATAGCGATTAATACAAGCTAAATTGTCTAATTGATGATAGGGTGGCTTTCTACCTCCACATGACATTGCTCTATCAAGCTTTCGTCCATTGCAAGAAATTCCCCACAATTGCCTCCTTTAGGAGTCTGGACCATGAGATTATCGAAAAAAAAGATTTGTCTAAGCCATTTTGTTTCTTTTTGTCCAAGTCACTTTTTTTCATCCAAATTGCTTTTCTTTTTATCGAACTCACTTCCTTTTTTCTGCAAGCATTTTTCTACAAGCATATAAATGCGTTGCTCTCTGACAGCTAAACTTTTATGTGAGATGGTTTCAATGGGTTAAATAATAGAACGGCTTAGAAACTCGAATAAATAATCCGAAATCTCGACGGTACAGCAGGAAAATAGTCTACAACATGAACAAGATTAGAAAATACTCGAGACTAGAAAATTACAACACCAATTACAGTGTGTTGGTGAATTCTTCGTTAAAAAGTACTAAAAGATCATCGCAGTTTTTATTTCAAAAGCATGTCACTCATTTATACATCAAGTTGAGAAACAATCAATGGCCTCGACAAGAAAAGGATCGAAGCCTACTTCTCATTCATTTGTTGTCGCCTCCTCCGATGGGGCAGTATTTCCATCTACGCAAAAATAGAAGCTCGTTAGAAGGGAAGAAGAAAATTAGTAAGAGATGCTAATTTGGGAGAAAACCGTTACCATACCAATAGCATTTTCAAGATACTCTCTATTTTTAAAGAAAGTATTCTATCATTTGGAGAGCATATATAAATTTAGAGACTTAAAATTTTGAAATACTCCAATAAGCTCTTTATATTTATATTGAAACATTTTGAATGCATTTAATTATTTAGAGAGCCTAACCCACTCTCTAAATTAAAATGTTAATTTAAAGAGTCTCTTGGAGCATGATTTTAAATGTTGACTCTTTAAAATAGAGAGCATCTCATGTTTAAAGAGTCTCTTGGAGATGCTCTAACGGGTGTCAAATGACTCAAAAACAGGATGCACTCATGAAAAAATGAAAAAAAAAAACACAGCAAGAGAACGACAGGAGAAAAAATTAAAGTATCTTAATGAACATGGCAAATCTAGGAAGAAAAACGATCAATTATAATGCATACCTTCACCTACTGATGGAGCATAAGGAGATTTGCGGTATCGTGTTTGCTGTTGAGTTGGCTAGAACATCAAATGCAAAAGGAAGTAAATGATAATCAGCAGACGATCATAAATATTGTGCAGAAATCTACTAGTCTGATGATAACACAATGAAGTGAAAGATGACCATTTTCCATCTCAGCGCTAACATTTATTTAAGCTTTTGTATGTAATTAACCTTCATTGCAACCATGATAGTTTTTGAGGAGGAGAATTATATTCGTAACTCATATTTGGCAGAAAGAATCAGAATTGGCGAAGAAAAGCTTTAGATTTTGAATGAAAATCAATCAAGGAAGCCATTCAATTACTGAATATAATATTGGATGCAGTTAAATCATCCATTTATTCATGCACCATAAAGCTAAATCAAAATTTTAGCTTTCTTATAATATATAAATATCATCACCATCACACAAATAATAAATCCATGTTCTAAGATCATATTGTCAATCAGGCACTTCTGGGTCCACCACTATTTGTAATTTAGGTGAAGGAGAATTAAATGCGACTTTCAAATAGTAAACATTGAAAATAATAGGTGGGGGAACAGCTTGAGTTGTGTTTATACCTTCGAACTGTAAATGTTTTACTGTCATGAAACATTGGATATACATATACTAATTCAGATTCTTTCTCTATTAAGTATCATAATTGACTTCTCACAATCAGAAACACTAATTTGCAGTTGATGTCCAACAGTAAGATCTGCTTGCATTAGAATACCATTATAGACTCATCGGTATATATCAATAAGCAAAGCAAGCGAAACTTTCACAACAGTAGCAACCATCATTTAATCATTTTGAGCAGACATTCTGCTTTTGCTAATTTTCTGGTTAGCCAAAGAATTAAATTAAACTTGTTGAACCAAAAGTAGCAATTTGAAACAGAAAACTCAAGCCACAGTATATGAAAGGTCATCGCACTTTGCTCAGAAGTAGTATGTCCAGAAAAAGTTCACCTGTAACTTTGGTCGAAGAGCCTCGAGTGGCCCTTTGGGCTTCTCTACACCTTGCTGTAATCATACAACATTGAGGGATGTTAGGTACTTATAGAGCATGCCAGATTTTAACTTCTGTATGCTTCAAGCGTGAACAAGACAGAGAAGGTGCCATCAAGAGGAAGTACCTTTCCCAAAGCCCAATCAGCAGAATCAAAGTAGGCACGTTCATGATCCTGACATCAAATACAGATATTTTAGAAAGGATGGGGCTGGACCTGCACAGTATTCAGGTTCTCGGCACCTGCACTTACATTAAAAAGCAAATCAAATAACGGTATTACCTTTGAAATTAGTGGCGGTTTCTTGGGCATGATTCCTCCATATTTCTTCTTAACGGCTTCTTCCTAATAAAGAAGGGGGGAAATTTTGTCTAAGATAATGACACATACAAATCTAGAGATACCACAAAAGATAATGAGTTGAACAAGACCTCCTGTTTGGTTGATGGCATGGACTTTTCACTGTCCTCCATAACTGCTTCTGTTTGCTCTTTGACTTCCTCTGTGCTGGACATATTGTTTCTAGAACCACCCCAGTGAAGAACACCTGCAGTAGTAATTTCAGAAGTGGTTGTAAGGAAGTCATTTTGGAAAGAGATCACTTATTAGCTAAGTACTTAATTTGAAATAAAATTTGGAGTACTTGCTTCAGAGGGGAGATGATAGAGATTCAATTTCTTGATTAGCAGCATTCCCCATCCAAGTCAAAGAATTCTCATAAAGTTTTATTAGTATACTGGTCTTAACTCATCCAATGAGAACACCTTAAAGAACATGCATTCATTGTAAAATGTTTTCACTTCAATTGTTAAGAAGGATTGTCCTCAAAAAGAAGGCATCAAGTTGGCATTATCTACATATATTTGCCCAGGTCATAGTAGTAAAAAAATGTAAAACAATAAACATCCTCAAAAGCAAATGACAATGTTGGTAGTTTTATAACCTCCTAAAAGGCGAATAAAATTTAATTGACGGTACTTTTATAGCCTCCTTAACCTTTTCGTCCATCTTTCTTCTAAACCCCATTTTACCAATTTTGTTAGTTCAGACTCTTAGGCTTCCCCTTTTATAGGCAAAACTTCGCCTTTTGCATTCTTGCCACTCATACCAAGATTCTACCTTGAGTCGGTAAAACTGTTTTAGCTGTTAATAATAGAAGGGATATACACTGTAAGTTGAATACTTGAAACTGCACTTTGGAATTTAAAAGTATAGGATTAAGCACGGCTGAGACTGAATTCATAGCGTTTATTTTGTTACATTTAGGCATGAGGATGATATTGAAGCCATAATAAAGGATCTGATTTCACAAAGAGTAATTGCTATAAATTTTAGTATTTAAGTTAGATTACTAACAACGGAATGACTCGAACAAGTAATAGATAAAATTGTTACCGATTACACTTGAGGGCTGGCTGGTTCTAAAGACGAAAAGAAAACCATAAACAACCACATCAGAAATTCAAGAGAAAATTCTGTAGCTAGAGGAAGATTACCATCAACAAACAACAAATTCGAGAAAAAATAAAAAATTCGAAGGAGCTAGAAGATGAGAATCTCAGATCGAAGTAGCGTTGAAATTAAATCATTCACAACAATCAGATCGAGTGCGAAATTAACATATAAAGACCGATTCTTCTACGCAAATAAATCTGAAACTACCTCGGGAGATGAAGAAGTTGAGTAGAAATCACTGCAATGCAAGATCTCCTTGTCCCCTCTGTTGCTCTATCAACAAGTCTTAAAACAGACCTGGGTTATAAATGAGTATTCACAATTAAGATGGGCTTTTTTT